CACTTCCCTCTTTCAATTTCATTTAAGAGAATGTATCTTATCATAGTATTTTATGCTTGTCTGGTTATTATTTAGGACTCTTCCCATTTGTTACATAATTACTTCTATATATCGTAGTATTTTACATCACTCAAAGCACCAGCAAACAAAATCTGAGATAAAATTAGCAAAACAGCTTTGAGAAAGTGAATATTCGTGCAAACAGCAAATACCTAACCTGACTTTTAACAAGGGCAGGACTGTCATCAGGAAAAATCCAGCAGGGATTTAAAACCTGAAGACACCACACCAGGATATCATTGGAACAGTTTGCTAGGTTCTACAAGGATGCTCAGAATTGCCACTGCACAAATGCTTTGTATCCTCCCTAAGTATCTTCTCCTGGGAAGGCCGGAGAGAGGTTGGTAGGTCATACAGGTACTTAGTCTGACCTGTACAGCACTTCTTGTGCTCTTGCATCCTGGTGAGGACTAGGTTCCACTTCCATCTCTTAGGCCATATCTCATGTATTAATCATGTTCAGTATATGTCTTTTCTTTTTGTCTCCACGCAGCAGAAATTGTCATCTATTAGGACAGCAGCGGTGAAGTTGCATTCCTCCACTAAATATATTTTCCCAAATTGCAGTTTGCTTTGAGGCTTATCTTCTAGTATGTGATCCACCACGTCCAGACTTCAGCAGTAAAATTCAACTGGAGCTGGTGGGTAAATAAGGGTTATTATACCCAGTATAAGATAAGCCCTGAACGGGAGACTGGGAATATATTTATATATAGAGAGAGATACAATATAGAGATACAACATACATTGCATAGCAATGAGAATTGACTGCAGAATGTTGAATGATCAGGAATTCTCTGCATCATAAATACTGCAAGTGTGCATGGACAAATAGAGTGATAACTACAGATCAGCTAGCATTGACCTGAAAACCTGAACTAAGTGTCATCATTTCTTACAGTAAGTAACGATAATGATCCAGACTGCAGGTAACGGAGGAAGGAAAGAGAGTGATCAAAGAAGGGTGAGGATTGTTCTGTATGGAGAAGAAAAGGCTCAGGGGAGAGCTCGTTGTGGCCTGCTAGTACCCAAAGGGGCCTAAAGGAAAGATTCTTTATCAAAGAGGGTAGAAATAGGGCAAGGGGCATTGGGTTTAAACTGAAAGAGAGAAGATTTAACTCAGATATTAGGAAGAAATTCTTCACTATGAGCACAGTGAGGCACTAGAACTGGCTGCCCAGAGAAGCTATGGATGCCTCATTGCTAGAGATGTTCAAGACCAGCATAGATGGGGTCCTGGGCAGCATGATCTGGTGGGAGGTGTCCCTGCCTATGGCAGGTATTGGAAACTGGACGGTCTTTAAGTTCCCTTCCAACATAAGCCATTCTATAATTCTCTGTTTGTTGTTGAGTAAGTTGAAATATGGTCACGTTGACTTCAAACTTTTGCATTTCTTTTTTTATTCCACCTCAGTCAAGTGTTCTTATCATGTGACTCATTAGACACTTCCTTCAAAATTTTGGTTTTTATATTGAACAATTACTTGGTATTCATACTGGGGCTGTTCTGTGATATCCTTACTTAATAGTACTTATGGCAAGTTAGATTATCTTAATGTTTTCAAGCTTAGAAGGCCTGTGAATTTCTGATAAAGACCTGTCCCGGGTATTCCTATCTGAGCAAACCTGTCTTTATGCCTTAAGTGGTTTGGAACATGTTGCTTGTTCTTTAAGAATATCACAGCTCCTTATTAGCTGTTCAGGTTCAGATCTGAAAATCACTATTTCCCTCCCTGCCCCTCTCTCTGAAGTACCATAGTTTGGGAAACTTCTGTAAAGAAGGATGGATAAGTCCTTCAGGATGACTTTCTCAGCAGCTATTATAACACTGTCATCCTTGCCACACAATATGAGTTTTCAATATAATCAAGTGTACTCAACCCTATTTGTAAGTTTTTTATTATATTCATTTCCTTTCTTTGACATGTTGGAGACATTTAGCAATATTTACTTCACGGTCCTTACACAACTCATCTCTTTCATTCAAATCAGCCAATTATTGATGCTTTCTTTCTAGCAGTTCATAGTTCTGAAATGTATTAATTTTGGTAATGGAGGTGCTTAAATGACCTAAAAGGGGAACTGTTGAGTCTCATGTTTTCCAAAATGGTAACTGAAGATGCAACATCCTCACATGGAAATATGCGGATGAAAATATTAATAAATGATATCAGATATGATTGATGTACTTACACAAATTTTGTGTGTGTTTTGAATCTATCATTTATCTATCTCAATACTGTATTACCAGACCATTAATCAGTACATGTATTCATTCAACAGGATCAAGGTTTGCCATCAGACCAAATTTAGTTTTTACCTTCATTCTCAATACCAATACTAATACATTCTAGATCCTTAGCATAATTCAGTGCATTATGTGGACCGTATAGTATCACATTTGGAAATTGCATTTAAACCAGGAAAAAAATAGAGCAACTGTTTCAAGTTCTGCTAATTAAATGAAATACATGGAACATTTTTGCCTAATTTCTTTTTAGATAGGGTAAAGTTTACCAAATATTTTATGCATTCTTCAGAAAACCGTAGAATAGTTGACTGTAGAATGTTTCATGAGATTCATAGAATCATAGAACCACCAAGATTGGAAAAGACCTCTAAGATCATCCAGTCCAACCACCCACCTGTCACCAACATTTCCCACTAACCCATGTCCCTCGGTACAACATCTCAGTGTTTCTTGAACATCTCCAGTTCATGTCTGCTTCTTCAACTTTTATTTTTTTCCATACAATCTGTAAAATTCTTCAATAATATAGGCTGTTCATTGATGGATATTCTGAAACCTAGTCCTAAACATTATTTCTCTGTGTGGGCATGCTAATAAAAAAAGTGCATTAGCTATCATCCCTGGACTCTCTGACTCCATGTCTCATTCTAGCCCTTCTGGGCCATGAGATTCTCAGCAACAGGTTTGGTTCTTCTGCTTGTTTGCAGAAGCCAGCTTTTAGCATCACCTCTCCCAGTTCAGCTATAGCTGAAAATAGGAAGAATTTAAAAGTCGGAGATGAGATTAAAACAACGTAGAAATTCTGTAAGAGGTCGGTTGTTTCCTCTAAGCCTTGTGCTATTGGACCTGAGAATCCATTTAGAGACATAAATGTGTGCTGTGAATATTTTGGGAAAGATAAAAGAATTTATCACGACAAGTTTTTTTGCCCTGGTTTGTTACATATGTTATGAATCTCTCTGACTCTAATTAATGTGCCTGCTACTTGTTCCTGCGTGCACAGCTTGAACGTCTGGGTTCAGTGAGGGGGTTTACCTGGCAGCCAGCACTTTGTAAGAAAACATGCAATTTTCAGGGAGCCATTTGGTGCAGATCAAAGCCACGCCGCAGCTGGGGGCATGGTGTTGGACTCATTGGTGACAGCGAGCTATGGGTACTCCTGTGATTATCTGAAATGTTAAATTAAATGATTCCTCTGTAAAGCCGTCTGTTATACTTGTTAATGTTTTATAAAAAGATTGGTGATGAGCACACATGAGATCTTGGGGACTTAAAAGCAAACCAAAATGCCCAAATGAGCCATGGGAATGAAAACTTAAAACATGACTATGGTCGAAAACATGACTATGGTCAAAAAAAGTCTTTGTTTTTTTTCTTTTTATGATGTCATTCTTTCTTTCTGCTGTAAATACATCAAAACTTCCCACATGCCAGGTGCACAGGTCACATTGCATCAGTTGTTTGATCATCTTCAGCTCTGGTTTCCATTGTAGCAATGCTCTCTGCACCTTTGTGCATTCTGGCTTTGATGGCTCCAGGCAGACTGGAGTTTCAATTCAAATGAAATGAGACAAAGTATGCCAGGACTGGGGCTGTTTATGTGTTTATTCATGGTATCAGCTAGTGTGGATTTTTTATGTTGATTTTTGTTGTTTGTTTTGGTTTGTTTGCTTGCTTTTTCTGTGAAAATAGAAAAGTTGGTTGCTTTGTCGTGGGAGAGCAAACTCAATATCACTCTCTGAGATGGTTTATTCCTCTAGCAGTGTTCTATGAAGCTTGGATGTTGTTTGGTTTTTTTTACAAGAGTAAAATCTATTTTCTTTTATATGCAAATCCTCAGTGTTAAAATGGCTTTGCAATGGTGTGATTTAATAACATATTTTTTGTAGTTTAACACAATACAAAGTTTAGCAGTTCAATTTATTTTTGAGATTGCTATCACATGAATAACCTTTGTTGCTGACATACTGCAATATATTTATTATTTAACAGATGACAGTCAAATAATAACCTGAATAAATGAGGATGGTAAATATAAAACAAAGAAGTTTTAAACATGCCTTGCAATTCTTTATTCTCATTTAATGCTGAAAATCCTGCAGCTAAGGACAGCACTAATACCACTGGACATAATGAGCCATAAACAGTTAAAAAATATGACTTGATTTTTTAGTCTAACTGGAGGGGAAGAGAACTTGCAGTGCCAGCAAATTTGTCTAATTCTTCCTTGCTTTGAGACCCTGGGATTTTTTGCTGAAGGAAAAGTAGGTTTATTATACAAAATAATAAAGGAAAAGGAAAGAAACAAAAACAACACATACCCTCCTCCAAGAAACTCCATACTTTGAAGTATATTAATGTGGGAATTAAATGTTGTTTCTGCATTAGAATTGGATAATACTTTTTTTTACCGTCCTGACAAAAATTATTTGGACATTTCCAACATTAACACATACCTGCCCTCACGAAGTATATTTCTGCTCGTGCACACAAAATATTTTGCTTTGTTTGTAGTCACCGTTTTTGATTTTTGACTGTGGTCTCCCAGGTGAACTTTGTAAACAGTGGTGCATGTAGCACTTCAACAAAACGCAATTTCAGCCTCTCAGAAAGAACAAAAGTGTTGAATGTAACAGCATTTCTGTTTTGGGACACTAATATTGACCTGTTTTTGTCTTTCCCAACATAGGTACTTCAAAAACTAGGAAAAGCAGATGAAACAAAGGATGAACAGTTTGAAGAATACGTTCAAAACTTCAAACGGCAAGAGGTCAGTTGCTTCTTTGGTTTCTGTTAAGAAGGATGCAGTGTATTTTAATGTGCTGATTTTGAAGAAGATGGTGAAGGATAACAGGTGAAAGAAAATGCTTTCAATCGTATGAGTGTAAGATTTTGTTTTGAAATTTGAAATTTTGTGCATACAAACATGTAATACATTCATATTAAATAGGCGTATTCTAATAATTCATAATCCCATCACGCTGTCGGGATCATTGGAGTGTCAGCATGTTTTCAACAGTGTAATTTAGAACGGAACCCAACCTCAACTTGATACAGCTTCTGACAAAGGAAGTGATTTGTTTCCTTGGTTTCGTGTTGTGGATTATTTTCATCAGTGGTGTGTAGTAAAACTGGTTTTATATTAAGCGAATAGCTGAACAGTTTTAGACTGCTGTGTGTTGTCATACTCCCCACTACTGCAGGGATGATGAGAGCTGTGGTGGCAGTGTTGATGATGCACTACAGGGCAGCAAGATTGCTCTTAATGTTGTAAATGCATACATACTAATTGAGTTTCCCTGAATAGTTGATAATTTGCTCCCAATGCAGTCCTGAAGTCTAACTTCAATTATTCCTCACTTTTTTTGGATGGGGTTTTTAGTTCCAAGGTGTTAATGTCACCAAGAGAATAATCTTGCTAAGCAAGTATATACAGAGGTATCAATAGCTTTCAAGAGCTATCTTTCAGAGCTCATATGTAAAAGCCATTGAAGGGCGAGAGAACTACTCCGACAAAAATTACATGACATAAAAGTTGGTTCCTATTAGTGTTTGCAATACCTACACTGACTCAGTCCTATTTTCCACATGCCTTTCTGTCCTTTTTATATAAACACAAATCCTGAAATCTCACTGCTCAGACTCTGATTAAGTCTTCTGCATCTTACAGTGACTTACAGTTATTTTCCAATCTCTAGAAAGACGGGGAGGCTCTAGGAGTAACTGGGCTATGTAGCTCTTTCTTTCTCTGAAATGATGATAATGGGAAGGAAAAGAAGCTGTTTCTCTGAGGAGAGTCATTCTTTCCTCAGTTTTGCCAAGGTCCGGTAGATACTGGGATTTAATAAGGCTGAAAAAGCATTCAGAAGCTTTGAAGCCCTGTAGAGATGTCATATTTTCCCTTTTCTTCACTTTCTTCTTTTCCAAATCTGCTGAGATGTCAATAGAGGATTTCTTTCTTTCTTTCTGATTTTTCTTATCTTGTAGCTTATCACTGTTTTCAATAACACAGATGTTTGCACAGCTAGTAACTCTGTTACTAGAAATAAGGTGCATCTGTAAGGCTCTTATTGGATAGGAGAGGAGCAGCTGGAGTATCCCCATGAAAAAAATAGAATTCTGTGGGATGTATTTTTAGATGCAGCTTATGAGTCAATTAAAAAAGAAGAGATGAAAGAGAAAAAAAATCATTATCAGCATAATTATGTTTCAAGTGTGTGTTTCTTCTGTTCTCTACCAAGAATTTTCTGTAATGCTGTTTTTCAGCAGAAACTCTTGCCAAGGGCTAAGGAGGAACTTAGCATTTCTTCATTTTTATTTCTTCCTTCTTTGATGTACTGAGTGACAGTAATAAGCAGTCAAGGACTCCACAGGAACTGAATTGATGTTAAATTTGAATGCAGATATGACTTTGGGCCACGGGAGGAAATGGGCAAGGAATGAGTGCTGAAGGAAATACTACGACTCATTTGAGTGAAACATGCAGTAAAGGTTAGATTCAGCAGCATAACAAATGAAAGATTATGTGTACATTTATTAACCAAATCATGCATGCTGCTGTGTTCTGCTTGTCTTGCTCTCAAATAATCCTGTTTTGCTCAATTCCTCCAATACAAAGGGGGAAAAATGCTGTAAGAACACTGTTTCTACCAGGTACACCAAATAAATTGCTTAAGTTTTCATAGTTCTACCTATGCTTTGATTTCCAATGCAAAGATTCAAAGGATTACATTGTGCACCTGAATTATCACTCCTAGTGATCAGCACTTTGCAGAACTGCTGTCTTCTGTGGGCTCAAGCAGCCATCTCTTCTTGCTTTACATTCAGTCCTGCTTTCAAGGTTACCTCTGCAATTCTAGAGCCCTTAGAAAAAGAAAAATCATACTCAAAGTGTTAAAGAGTTAAAAGGCAGATGGGGTGATGGATCATTGTGTTGAGATCCACAGAATAGTTGGTGTGGGCTTCCAAGCAGAACCACCCCCTACTAGAGACTGCACCATCTTTTCCAGTTCTCTCCAGGATTATTTTTCTCTATGATGGTTGCTTGTTATAGTAGTCCTTCCTGTGACAGAGGCAGCTTGAGAGAAAGTTCAGGCTTAACTTCATTTCTTGCAATCTCATTTAACAGTGATTTGGCTCAATTTCCTGGCTATATCACTTTCTTACATTTGGTTTTGAGGAAGGCTGTCACAGCTAGTGACATGTGGGCTGTGGGTAAATTGAAAGGTTTTAAAATGGTCTATTTGTCTTATTTCTCCACCTCATTGACCTGATGTCACTTGGGAGGTCAACTGGTTTTATGGGTAGAATTATCCTGTTTTGATACTCTCCAAGGATAATAAATAAGGACTCCCAGTTTAGCTCAGGGAAAGGACAGAAAAAGAGCAAAGCACTTATTATCCAGGAAACAGATAATGCAAAAACTGAGATCTTAATAAGCAATTCCTTGCCTGAAGAGCAGGTTGGATGATAAGTGTTTACCATACTCAGCAGGATGCTCAATATAAGGGTACATCCAGAAGATCAATATAACTTTATTTAGGATAGCATCATTTAAGCTGCCCTGTGGTCCATTCCCACCTCTATTTGAGTACAGCTGGATAAGAGGCCCCCTTTCGGCGTGAAACTCAGAGCTGAATTACCAGATGAATCACCATGGAGAAACTGAGTCATCCCATGTCTGGAGAGAACAGTGGCTCTAGAGAGCCTCCAGATTTTCCTGTCAGAAGCAGTAAGCTACTGCAACTAAAAAAAAAAACACCAACAAGATTTGATTTTTAGCAGTGAGTAAAACCGCGATTCACCTTCCACTTAACTTGTGAACAGGAAATTGTCACTTTAAAACAAAACTCGTGGGCCTTATATCAACTTGTGTGGCACAGATTTTCAGTATATTGCAAGAATTTACTTGAGACTTCTGTGTTTTTTTCTCCACAGCTAATTGTGGATGTTCTCAGCCCCTTAACTGACCTTGAAGTTCAGGGAGAAAAAAAAAAAAAAGACAGTTCCTGCAAAATTCTCTACTCTGTGAAAATATCATCAAGTCCAAAATTTCTCTCTATGTATAACTATAGATATCATCATTCAAGCAACTGCATCTTACACTTTTTTTTTTTGTCAGGAAGTTCAGTAGGAATTTTCTTATTTCCTGCTATATTTTAATGACTCAGCACTTGTAAAGCATCAATATTCTCTTTTGTATCTGTGAATATTTACTCTCATCATTTTTCCCTACATAGTTACGAGATTTCTTTTATTTTATAGACTACAGTTTAAAATGTTTTAGTGTTTAAACTATTAACATTATATATTGTATATGTACACACAGAGATACACCAGTTGCTGCTATAAAAAAAGGCATCTGCCCATGAAATATTGTCAGAATAAAGCAAAATGTCGAGTGCTGCTTTTAGTGGTTTATGGAATTTGGTGAAAATGAAGAGTTTTTTTTGTTTGAGCAGAAGTGTAGCCTGCTTTACTTAATGTGCACCTCACAGTAGGAGCTGCTCTGTGGGTGGAATTGGTAACAATTCCAATGCTGTGTCCTTCATTTCATGAAAGCGTGCTTAGCTGCCTAATAGCTATGGCATGACATTGACTTAAAGCTCTTTGGTGGGGCAGTTAACAGATGCTGAAGTATTCTTTTCATGTCAGACATATCACTAACTTTTGATAATTCATTAATGACCTAAGACAGCAAAGATGACATTCATGGCCTACACACAGGCACCAGACGTGCCTCTGCGATCCTCTCAAGCACATCTTGGCATCTCCAGGGACATGTTTTGGTAGCTGAACTCTGTCACTGGAGGCTCACCCATTCTCAGATTGCAATACTTGAATGTAGGTATCTGTATTTGACTTCATTTGTGTTGAACCAGGCAGTGTCATCAGAATGCTCAAGATAGCAACCCATCATGTTTCTGGGGGCACCCATAGCCTTAATGGCCCTAATCAGTCCCACTCGGGACACACAGCCCTTCACTTGGGCCCAGAAGTCCTATTTTAGCTCATACCCCTGAGCCATATTGTAGAAATGCAGTCCCCAGTCCTGCTTCCCACAAGGACTGTGGACATACATCCCAGCTGTGTCTCCTGCTGCTGCCAGCTGGATCTCCTGGGCAGCATCTGGATCTGACTCATCCCCTTCTTGGTTGGAGGTACATTAGTGAACCCTCCTGTCACTTGTGGCTCCTGACATAGCCCTCTTTGTGGTTGCCATAAGGAGTGTGAGTCAGTTCTCTAAATGTCAGCACCCACTGCCATCTGTGAGGTCCCTCCCTGGCTCCCCAACACCATCCCACAAAGCTAAGAGTCTCCTTTAGGATCAGTTGTGTTTGTGGATGTGTTGCAAGGTGTCCCAAAAGACACTAGGCAGCTGTGCTGAGTGAGTGGTCTTGACTTTAGGATTTAATTGTCCTTCTGACTCCATAGACTGCACCAAAGAGATCTGTATTAGCTCTAAGAGGAGGAGAGGCACTCAACTCATGTGTAGGCAGTCACAGGTGTCTTGATCTGGGGTTGAATGAACAGCACGATGAAAACATTTCACAAGAAATTCAACCTGTTCTGCAAACCCTTCTTTCTTTTGGAAGCTATATGCATCCCATATGTCTATTAATCATCTTATGCACTTCATGTCTACCCCTCATTCAAACCCCTCGTTTTACTGATCTTGTGCATAGGCTTTAGAAAAATTAATCTGGGCAATAAATGAAAAGTGCAAGTTTTAAAATTACTCTCACTGGAAGAGTCTGTTTTCCCTTAGCT